ATTCAATCACTGACTCCAGCCCTTCTTCCATTCCTGGGCTGCCATCACTTCAGATTTGTGGGTGCTATTTATCATTACCCACAGGTACTTTATCAAGTTTTGTACTCTCCCTCATTTTACAGTAACAAAATGGACTGCTCTATCACCTTCCCTCCTAAAGGAAATTTCTTCCTTATTTCATAAGGGAGCTATTGAACTCACACCACCAAAAACCCTTGGGTTTTATCCCAGGTATTTCACAATCTTGAAAAAAGATGGAGGCCTTCATCCTATTGTGGACCTCTGCTCTCTTAATAAACATATTTGACCCAAGTGTTTCAGGATGGTATCTCTACAGTCCATCCTCACTCCCTTTTCCAAAGATGTCTGGTTCACATCCATTGACCTTCAAGATACTTATTTTCATATCACAATTGAGGAGTCCTACAGACATTTCCTCCATTTCCAGATAAGTAGCCAAACCTTTCAATTTACAATTCTTTCCTTTGAGTTAGCAACAGTTCCCCATCTGTTCACCGAATGTATGGCAATTGTTTGTGCTTATCTCTGTCTCCATGGTATTCATATATACCCCTACCCAGACAACTGGCTTATTGTAGCCCATTCTCATGAAGCCTTCCTAAAAGCCAAAGAATTTACTTGCTCCCTCCTCTCTCATCTTGGACTGCACATTAACTCAGCTAAATCTCACCTTTCTCCTACCCAGTCTATCAACTTCATCAGAGCCAGACTCAACTTGATACAGGCGAAATATTTCCTCTCTCAGGACAGAAACACAGAAACAGAACGAGTCAGAAGGGGCCTCCTGGGCCATCTAGTCTGACCTCCGGCACCAGCCAGCTCTGCTCACAACATGCCCACCATGTGGACGTCCAGCCTGTCCTTGAACACCCGCTCCGATGGGGCCTCAACAACCTCTCGTGGAAGCCCATTCCACACCCTCGGGGTCCTGACTATCAGGAAGTGCTTCCTGGCATCCAAATGGAACCTTGGCTCCCTGAGCTTTGCTCCGTTGGAGCGCGTTCTGCCTTCCTCTGCAGGGGAGAATAGGTCTCTACCCATCTCCATGTGACATCCCCTCACATACCTGTATGTCGCCAACATATCCCCTCGGAGTCTCCTCTTCTCCAGGCTGAAGAGACCCAGTTCCCTCAGTCTTACCTCATACCCCATCCCCTGCAAACCGGCCACCAACCTTGTGGCCCTACGCTGCACTGACTCCAACCTGGCTATATCCTTTCTGTAATGAGGGGCCCAAAACTGAGCACAATACTCCAGTTGCAGGCGCACCAGAGTTGTGTAGAGTGGTAGTAATACCCCTCTTGATCTAGAAGCCACACTTCTGGCTATGCAATCAAGGGTGGCGTTCATCCTCTTGACCACCTGACGTCCCAGGCTCGGGGTCCTGCTGATCCCCCAAGGCCTCATCAGCCCCAGCCTCCCCAAGTGGAGAGAACCTGTTTCCCAGCTCCAGATTGGTGCCAGGAGAAGGTGGAGGCCGTGCTGGCCTTCTCCTGTGGGTGACATACCTCCATGTCTCCGCAGCTGCTCCTCCTGTGGTCTCTCCCTCAACCCTCTGTCCAGAGGGGGGCTGCTTCACGGCGGCCTGGAGAGTTCTCTCAGCCCTCAGGCACCTCACCTCCTCTTCTAGCAGGGTCACCACCTTGCACCGAGGGCAAGTGTATCCCTGCCTCTCCTGGGGGAGAAGGGTGAACATGTCGCAGCTCTCGCAGCAGACAGCAACACCTGTGACTCCCGCCAAGGCCTTCTTTTGGTCTGCCATCAGTATCCCTTCAAGACCTTACCTTGGTCCCCTGCCTTGCTTGTCCTGCAGTTTCTCTCACTCACCCAGTTCTTCCTGACAAAAACCCACTCGCGCACACACACAAGGATAAAATAAACTTAAATTTAAATTGGAAGAAAAACAAAGCAAAGCACAGCACAAACAAAACAAAACAAAACAAACAAACCTCTGTGTCTCAGGGAAGGGAGTCTCCGGACAGCCTGGGCTGCAGCTGAGTGTCCACCATATCCAGAGGGGTTGCCTCACTGATTGACACTCCATTGCCATCTGCCAGATCGATCCAACACACCCTCGGCTTGATGTCCACAGAGATCCCAGTCATCCCACTAGCACAAATATTTATGAGGCCTCTTCAATTGTGGTTCCTAGCTTCTTTCGATGCCACAATTCAGCTGTGCCATACCTGATTTTATCTTCCACCTTGGATCCAGAAATCCCTATATTGGTGGACAAAAAGAGCCAACATGGGAATTGGAGTCCCTTTCTCCCCCTCGGGACCTTCAAGTGATTATTGTAACAGATGCCTCTTTCCTCAGATGGGGTGTTCATTATGGGCAAGCCACCATTCAGTCCAGGTTGAGCCCTCAGGAAGTTGCCACCATATCAATTTCTTGGCACTCTTGGCGATCAAGAAGGCTCTCATTGCCTTCAAGACTTATGTTCGAGATTGTCATGTCAGAATTCTTACAATACCGCAGTCATGGCATATATAAGCAAACAGGGTGGAACCAGGTCAAACCAACTTGCCTCTCTTGCCACCACCATCTGGCACTGATGCATCACCAAGTGGACCACTTTAACTGCCCTACGTGTGGCAGGTACCAGCAATGTTCTTGCAGACTCCCTGAGCAGGACCTTCACCAGATGTTATGAGTGGGAACTACACCCCACAGTCCTCCAAACCGTGTGGAATTGTTGGGTTCTGCCTCAAGTAGACCTATTCACTACCAAATACAACACGGTATGTGACCGCTTCTGCTCAAGGGCTGACCTGTGCACTCAATCCCTCAGAACGGCTTTCCTCCCATCTTGGAGCGGGAAACTATTCTGTTTCCCCCATTTTCTCTAGTTCTGAAGATTCTTGCAAAGATCTCTCGAGACCACACCAATGCTATTCTCAACACTCCATGGCAGCACTGATTTTCCCTTCTGCTCGACCTAGCCAACAGGACTTTCTTTTGTCTGCCATACAAAGATGATCTCCTCTCACAGGATTGCAGCAAGACCCTCCATCTCGACCTGCTCACTCTCCACCTCCCTGCATGGAGAATTCATCAAACTCCGTCTCACTAACAGACATTCCTCCTGATCGTAAGCTAGTATTAGATGCTTCATTTAAACCCACAGGGCATACAATGCAAAGTGGGCAATGTTTACCTCCTTTGCAACCCAACATAACTTTTCCCCAGCCTCAACCTCTCCAGTTCAAATCCTTCTATTTTCGAACTTGCTATACAAGAAGGGTCTTTCTTATTCTTCTATCAAGGTTTACATGGCTGCAATCTCAGCCTTTCATGACCCTATTAAAGGATGCTCAGCATTCTCACATCCCCTAATCTGTCAGCTTCTCAGGGGATCCTCAATCTAACTCCTCTCAAGCGTCCTTCTCCATCCTGGAGTCTCTCTGTCATCCTCCATGGACTCACTAAGCCTCCCTTTGAGCCTATGTACTTGTGCAATCTTTGCCTTCTTTCTTGGAAAATGGCCTTTTTAGTTGCTATTACTTCTGCCCAACAGGCCACTGAATTTGCTGCTCTCCAAATTGACCCTCCATATACCATTTTCCATAAGGATAAAGTTGTTCTTTTGACCCTACCTTCCTACCTAAGGTAGTTTCTTATTTTCATATCAGTGAGCCTGCAATTCTACCTTTGTTTTTTTCAGAACCCCTCTACTCCTACTGATACTGCTCTACACTCCCTAGATGTTAGAAGGGCTCTTGCCCTTTACAAATCAAGAACCCAATATTTCAGGCAATCACAAAGATTTTCATTTTATATGATGAAGCCTGGTTTCCCTTCAGAGGCTCTCCAGGTGGATCATGCATACTATATGTTTGGCCTATGACCTCTCTGGCCTCCAGCTTTCTGGACCTGTCAAAGCTTACTCCACTAGAGCTACTTCTATCTCCACTGCACTGTATACTGGAGTATCCCTTACTGACTTCTATAAAGCAGCGACATGGTCAAGCACATCAACCTTTGTTTGGCACTATCGCCTTAATGTTAGATCCAGAGAGGACTGCACCTTTGGCAGAACTGTTCTCTCCACTATACTTTGCTGAGCAACGCCACCCTCCTTCTCAAGGTAAGTTCGTCGGTCGCCCATGTGTGTAATGCTCAGGGACCACGAAGAATAAAGTCAGGTTTCCTTACCTGTAACTGTCATTCTTTGAGTGGTCATCTGTGCATTCACAAATACCCCCCCCCCCACCATCCCCTCTGGTGTCTCTCTTGATACCTGGGTTTTTTTCTTTATGTCATGATGTGATCATGATGGCAGTCTCAGCTTTGAACTGAGATCTTCACAGGAGCCCTGCCCTCACGCTAGCTGCATTTGGGGCTGGGCTCCCACCAAATACTAATTAATCCGCTTTGGAATCTTCCCAAAAAACCGCTCCATGCATGCGTGAAGAACCCATATGTGTGAATGCACAAATGACCACTCGAAGAACAACAGTTACAGGTAAGGAAACCTGCCTTTCTTCAGTAGTCATCTGTGCATTTGCCTGCCCTCCACCCCGCTGGCTGTCGTCAGCATAGTGCATCACGCTTCCTGGGCACTGGGTGCAGTCACCTATACCTCCTTTACAGGTCTGCGGAGCCTTCACTGCCTGGGATGATGTGGCCCTCAAGACAACTGAGAGACTGGGTAGTAGCCCCCCCCCCTTTATCCTGATCCTCTGAGCAGGTGAGGTGGGGTTCCTGCCCACTCTGTGACGCCGAGCTGTGGAAGTTTCTCCAATGCAGACCTTGCATTGCGCAGCAAAGCCCATATGTGTATGAACACACAGATGGCCACTCGAAGAATGACAGTTACAGGTAAGCAACCTGCCTTTCCTTTATTAAATTTGTGAAATGCTTCATGCAAAATTACAGCATACAAGCACTTAATTCTGCTGCAATAGAGAATCACATTTCTGAATTTAGAGAACTGTAGAATTGTTTGTTCTAAAATGAAAACTCTTTCATTGTAGGGAATGTATACAATATACGTAATCTCTTAAATAAAGAATGTGTCATTCTCTTCACACAGCTGAAAGGAAACAGGTAAGAAAAATACTGAGTTGGATGTAGTTTAAGTATGACTAAATTTAGATTCAGCCTGGTGTGCTTATATGAGTTCTTCAACCTTTTCCAATCCACAACTCCTCCTGATTTTAAAAGTGAAAGTCAATGCTGATGTTCACATGCTCTCTTTGTATCTTATCCTCATCTTGCTTCTTCTGTATACCATTCTTGCCACCAGGTAAATGAGAATATCCACCTATTTTTCTTTATTTTCTAACACTTGTGAACAATTGTTTAGGCATAAATGGGGAATGGTTACAGTAGTCTAGAAATACTTCTGAGGCACTAGAGCTCAGCTGTATTTGTATCCTTTTGACCAAAGTTCCCTGTGTAACTCAGAACACTTAAAATGCAACAGGAGCAGGTATGCATTGGTGCCTTCACATACCTGCCTGGGTACCTCCTTTTGTTGGACCTATCACAGAGGGTGAGGACTGCCCCTTGCCCTTGTGGAGGAGGGGACCATTCAACCTATCTAATAACAATGTTACAGTTCAATAAGATATGAAAGACACATTCTGGAGGTGTTTCCTATTCAGGAGGAGTTTAGAAAACAAACTATAACACTTTAACTATGCAGATTTAACTATGGAAAATGTAATGAAGAGAACAACAGTTAAAAAATGTGGGGGGAACAAACTGCTTCTTCATTTAGCCCACTGTTTGTGGACTTGTTAATTGATAAAAATGCTTCAAAGATCCCTCAGCAGATGGAGCCATATGCCAGGTAATGTAAAGCTAATATCATAAATTGGTTGGGTCAAAGCAACAAAAGCAAGAACTTTCAACTCCAATCTGAAAATCTTCCTACAGGACTCCTTCCTGAGATCTCAGTTATATTTACTAGAGCTGGGGTAAAGGGTGGAAAAGATGGGTGGCGATATTCATATTACTGAAATTATTGGGAAGGAATATTTTTATCAGGTGCTCAGGCTGCTTAAGATATACTTTCTGTGCTTTTTCCTTCAGCCTATAACAGTTAAAGTTTATTTTTAAAAAGAGAAAAGTTTCCTGTATTGAAATTTACTTTTAATTATGTGTGAAAATAGGGCAGGATGCTAAATGCCTAATCAAACTGACATAGGCAAAAAATACATAGAGGTTTTAACTTTTGAGTATGACTGTTTTACCAAGCCATAAGCAGAGGAGCAAAAAAGTTGGACTGTTTTATTATAAATGAGCTCTATAATGGCTCCCACTTAAAAGTGAACTTCAGGTTAAATCACTTGTATTCAAACATGCTAAAAGGTTAGATAGATGCTTGCCTAAACAGGAAGGTTTTGATCGTCTTCCGTAACAGCCAGAGCTTCTGGGAAATGGAAGGGAATTCCATAAAAGGGCCCATTGTTTAAAAGTTGTATTAGTTAGAAAGATGAACCCTGTGCTTGACTTTATTCCCACTTTAAAATTACATCTCAGTGGTTTCTCCTTAATACAGACGGCCTATATAAGGAATGGCTTGGCAAAATCTAGCTTGAAATTTTGTTGTTGACTTGCTTTCCCTGCAAATAAACTTGCATGGGGAGAAAGGCAAGAGAAATAAATGTTCATGGTTCATTTTGGCTCAAATATTTCCTGACCTAATAGGAGACTTGCTGAAAAGCAGATTAAGTAGTAATTATAATAATAAAGCAATATTGCAAATGAACAACACAAGATTATTAGTATTATTATTATTTATACCCTGCCTATTCCCAGTGATTGGAACTCAAGGCAGTCACAGCATTAAAATACATACAATTAAAACATGGTGGGCATGTCATGAGCAGAGCTGGCTGGAGCCAGGGGTCAGACTAGATGGCCTGGGAGACCCCTTCTGATTTGCTCTCTTTCTGTTTCTAAAACATTCAAAAATGTGCAAAAGTTAGAAACATTAACATATCTAAACATAAATGAACTAGATATTAGAAGAAATGCCCAGATTGAAACACTACCCAATATAAACCCAGTATAAACCATGAAACTAATCCAGTGCACTCTCACAGACCATTTCCAAATGCCAATTGGCACAAAATCATTTGCTTTTGGAAACCCAACAGGGAAAGTTCTAACCTAGCCTCCCCAGAAAGGGAATTCCCAGAGCTTTGGGGCAAAAGTTGAGAAAGATGTCTCCCGTTTTCCCACCAAACATGCCTGTGAAAATGGTGGAACCAAAGAAGGTCCTCCTCAGAAGATCTTAGAGCTCAGACAGACTCAGGTAGGAGAATGCAGTCTTTCAGATAGCCTGGATTCAAGCCACATGGAGCTTTGTAGGTCATCACCAACACTTTGAATTTTGCCCAGAAACAGACTGCAAGCCAGTGAAGCTGTTTCAACAGAGGAGTTGTATTCTTCCTGTAGCCAGCCCCAGTCTGCAGTCTAGTAGCAATTCGCTGAAGTAGCTGCAGTTTTCAAACACTTTTCAGAGATATCCCAAGGAAAGACATTCCCTCCAATTCCCATCCCACCAAGGTGGCCAAGGAGGATATAATGGTCAGTGGTATCAAAAGCTGTTGAGAGGTCCCGCAGAACCAACAGGGACACGTTCCCATTGTCTAGTTCCCAGCATAAGTCATCCACCAAGGTGAACAAAGCTGTTTCTGTCCCATAACCAGATCTTGAAGCCAGGGTAATGTCTGTCCATTCTTAATACAGGATAGATAGAGAAAAGTAGCGGACTACTTATACCTTTTGTAAACCACCCAGAGAACTTTGGCTATAGAAATGTAATCAATAATAATAAAAATCACTCTGTCCCCTGATTAAAACTGGTCAAAAAATAAGAAACTGTTTGCCATACATAGCAAGAAAATATTTGCATTTAAATAGCAAACATTTAGAGTGATCTGAAATCTGCACAACATTCACATTTAGCCAGAAAGGCCATTGAATTTGCATAAATTTTAGCTGATGCAACTAACTTGATATAAAGAAATCAGTGTGTACCTGTTTATATTCTGTGTGCAGTGTCCAGTCATTGCATGAGATTATGGTTGAAAAATAATTTTGTGTAAACAACTGCATATTTCATTTCAGGTCAGAAGAAACATAGCCTTATATCTATATCTCATGGAGCAACTTGGACATTATCTCATTAAAAACAGTACAGGGGTTCTCTGGAATCCTGTTTCCTTACCAGCTCTGTTGATATGCTGTTTCCAGGACAAGAAAATAAGTGCAATTTTCTACTGTTGAGTTGTATCTTTTTCTGATTTGATATTCCATAAGTTCTTTTCTTTGTTGTAATATAATATACATCATCCTTTTAAAAACAACAACTCTTGAAGGAATAATGTTAACAACCTCCCTAATTTCTTGCCTTGAAACAGGGGGCTATGCTGTTTCTAAAGTAGTTAAGCATCTGATAGTAGTGAAGCTAACTGCTTCAGTGGTAGACACCCAGCTTGGTACTTCTGCAGCTAAAATGTCAGCCTATATTCGACAAATGGAGAATATATCGCTTGTCTCAAAAGCAATACAATATTCCATTTTGCCAGTGCAGTTCTGCAGCAGTGCCGGAGGTAAAGACATGGCCATTCTGAAGACTCTTCATACAAGTGGCCATCCATGCCAAAGTGCAAGTAAGAGCAGAGGTTATCTTTGTGGCTGGATCCTACACTATGTGCTTAATTGCTTGGTACAACATTGGATGAAGCTGTTAGATATTTTTCCTTTTTTATTGTTTGTTATTTTTTGTGTTTAATAAAACTGTAATAATGCATATGTGATTTGGTTCTTGAGAAGTTTTCAGAATCTTAAAATGTAGGAATGTGCATCCATATTACTGTTCCACAGACTTAATTCTTGGACTAATTAAAGCATGTTCTCAGTTTTTCTGAAAGCATAGTACGAGTTATTTGTGACTTACGTGCCTTTTCCCACTTATTCTCATCTGGCTTGGGAAGCATTCTACCAGTTATATCATATTTTATCTAGTGTCACCTTTTCTTTTTTCTTTTTATTAACTCAGTCAGTAAACAAAAACAAACATTCACAACATGAACAAATGTATGTATGTATGTATGTCAGAAAACTTTTAGTCTAACCCTAACCCTAATGTTAAAGCATGTTGCTCAGGCATCCTGTTAACTTTTATTAAATGGGATAGTGAGCTACTGCTCCACTCAACATGTTCACCCTCATCCAGCCTATTATCATATTTGGGCATTGTTGAATTGTCTGTCTGCATCCTTCATGTTGGGTGACAAAAAAACCAATAAGCTGGGCATTCACAGCACTCACCCCATTTCCTGCCCTATGTTGGTGGTTCACTGAAAGATCAGGTACTCCCATTTTGTTCACTCAGGGCTAAATGATGCACCTGATTTCTTCCATTGTTTTATCATGGAACCAACCTGACATTAAACCAGAGCAATATGAAGCAGGACAAGTTGCCCCTTTAGCATTAAATTCATAAAATGTGATAGCTTCTTAAAACAGGAAAGGGGTAGTGGTGGTCCTGAGCAGGTCCTTCAGAAGTTCCACATTTTTTTTTCATTTTATGGACAAGTATCCTATGGATTGACACTCCCTTCACCATGTTTCTCAGGGACAAGGTCATCCTCTGCCCTGACCCTCATTTCACCCCTAAGGTGACGTCTCTTTTTTACGTCAACCAGGACATTGCCCTTCCTGCTTTGTTCCTCAACCCCTCCACCCCCATCGAGGCCACACTCCATCTCCTCGATGTTAGGAAGGCCCTGGCCTTTTATAGGGCCTGGACTGAGCTGTTATGCCGCTCTGAGTGCCTTTTTGTATGCTACGAGGGCCCCAGAGCAGGTGAACCCGTCTCCAGTCAAAGACTCTCTTAAGTAGGTCTCCAGCACCATCTCTCTTGCCTGTGAGATGGCCAAGATTACCCTAATGGACTGTCCGCGTGCCCACTCCATGCACGCACAAGCCACTTCCACTGTGCTGCTAGCTGGTGTCTCCAAGAAATCTTCAAGGCTGCGACATGGTCCATGCCCTCAACTTTTGTCCACCACTACCAGCTGGACATCCACGCCAGACGGGACTGCACTTTCGGAAGGGCGGTATGCTCTGCAATTCTTCGGTGATGACAGCCCCCTCCTCCTGGATGGTAAGCTTGCTAGTCACCCATAGGTGTGATTGCACAGAGACGACAAAGAAGAAAGGCAGGTTGCTTACCTGTAACTGTTGCTCTTTGAGTGGTCATCTGTGCATTCACACAACCCACCCTCCGCCCCACTGGTTGTCAGCCTCTCACCCTGAATGGACTGGGGCAGGGTGCAGTCACCTCTGTATCCTTCACAAGTTCCTTGGATCCCTCCCATGCCTAGGACAGCATGGTCTTCAGCTAACTGAGGAACTGAGTGGAACCCCCACCCCCTTTATGCTACCTGGACTGGTGGTGGGCTGGGCTCCCGCTCAGTCCATGACTCTGAGCTTTGGAAATGTAATCTGAGGCCTTGTGCTCTGCAGCAAGTGCATAGGTGTGAATGCACAGATGACCACTCAAAGAACGACAGTTACAGGTAAGCAACCTGCCTTTTCTGGAGCTGTTCATCTACTCAAGCACATCCCCAGGAAGGGGATGTTGGCCACTAGCCTATAGTTGTTAATAGCCTCTAGGTTAGGTTTTTTTCAGGAGTGCTTTAATTACAGCCACAGAGTAGGCTGTGGTTCCCCAAGAGCAGGAGTCGGAGGCAGAGGGAATTCACCCCATAGAAAGGAGGTGGAGTGTACAACTTTGGGTTAGACAGAAATCCAAACACACTGAAGGGAGGTTTCCGTGAAATGGCATGCTGACTTAATTAGCCAGTTGTGCTAAGCTACAGCTGGCTATAAATTCAGGCAGAGCTGCTCTGTGTTGCAAACAAGCATTATCTGTGTTCCTGCACTGTGTTGTTGTTAACCAGTATCTAGATTTCCTGGCCTGTTTACTGGAGATCCTTTTGGACGCCCCTTCCTGACATGGAGCTTCAGACACTACTAACCATATCACCTTGACCCTTGACATACAACTGACAATTGAGAAAATAATGCAGAGATTGGGGTTTTGTATACTCAAGGCAGGACACACTGTCCCCAACACAGGTGTCTACCAAGGAGCTGGTCAGGCTCTGCTCAAGAGGAGAGGGTGCTTGAGAGTGATCATGTCAAATGAGCCATCTCTGCATTCCACAGAGCAACCTGGACTTCAACAGGAGCACCAGCCATACCAGCTGGGAACTCCCCAGAGCTTTCTCAAAGCCATCAGGATCCATTAACCGCTGGGGATAGACCATTTTAAAAGGTTCCTGACCCTCACAGAGGGGGAAAAGAGCCAAAGGTCTAAACTTTAGGCAGACATTATCACAGCAACTACAATTTCTTTTCATATTATAGTATAAAACAACACAACATGTGGCCATGACAAGGAAGTTGTTAATTCCCCCACTTCCAGTTCAATATCCTCTTGCTCAGTTGAGAAAACCAGATCAAGGGTGTGTCCTTTTACATTTGTTGGGCCAATAACATGTTGAGACAGCCTCTTGTGCTGGTAGTGGTGGGGAGACTTCCAATATCAAGATGATCAGTTGCTAACTTTCAACTCTCTTGTAATGCCTGCCTAATTGGATAGATCTGCTTGGATAAACAGCATGATTTTGGTTGCAAGGGAAAGGGGAAGGTTTCTGCCTTTTGAAAAGGCCAGAATATTGGGGCATTCACTTATGGACTCATAAATTAAGCATTAAAAATCTCTAAGGGAGAATTCCTGTATCCCTCCTCCCCTAGGATGAATGCCAGAACTCTGTGAGAAGTATCTTAAAAGCTTTCTTTCACTGCCACCTATTAATTTGAGCCCAATAAAAACAACATTGTTTAAATACCTGAATGTGCCAAGAACACAGAGATTTTGGTATTGATAAAACTGTAAAGACAGTGAAAGGAAGTGGAAGATGATGATTTCCTGATCTCATGACATCCTAATTTATATAAGCAGAATATACTTTTTTAAACGTGCTCCACCTAATGGATGAATGTCTTGATGGCAAAAATTGAAACAGATCCAACCAGCAAAACCAACTGATTTTAGTCTTTCCAAGTTTCATGTTCTGATAAAGAGTCTGATAAAGGAGCAGCTGGGAGGGGGGAGTGACAGGAGAACATGGAGATAAGGGTATATGGGGGAAGGTGGGAGGGAGAAGTTGGTGGATGTTGTTAAGCAAGTATTAGAGAACCTCAAAGAAATAAAGAACTTAATTAAAAATCTGAAAGAGGGATAATTCAAATCTCAAACTATTACCACGCAAAGAGGATGATTTTTTTCGAGACTGGAGAAACAAATATTGGCAGTGGATAAGCAACTTTAAGAAACAGAGGACATAGTATTCACTAATACTACTTGTCACTGGCCACCATCCTGATGATTCCCCACTAATGGTTACTCTCTGCTTTTGGTCAGTCAACCATGCCCTATCCATCAGACAGGGCTTTGGTGTATCCCAAAACTCCTCAGTTTCAACCAGGATATCATGTGGAACTTTGTCGATGGTCTTGCTGAAATCCAGGTAAACCACATCCACTGCATCCCCTCCATCTAGCCATCTCGAAACCTTGTCATAGAATTCCTCGAGGTTTGTCTGGCAGGACCTGTTTTTGTGGAAGCCGTGTTGTGTGGCTGTCAGCCTCCCTTCCCTATCTAGCATCACTAGATCTCTCACTATTATGAGCCTTTCCATTGTTTTTCCTACAATGGACAACTTCCATCCTGAGGGTCTCTTCTTCTGGTGGCATATCTTCTATCCTTATGATTCTGTCCATGGGGTTTTCATGGCAAGGATACTGAAGTGGGTTGCCATTTCCTTCTCCAGTGGATCACATTTTGTCAGAGCTCTCTGCTATGACCTGTCTGTCTTGGGTGACCCTGCATGGCATAGCTCATAGCTTCATTGAGCTACCCAAGCCCCTTCGCCACAACAAGGCAGTGATCCATGCTTTTATGAAGAATTAAAAGAGAATGCCTTCCTAAATGGTCTAATATTTTTATTCAGCATGTAAACAGAATGGAGAATTCAGTGAAATATGCCAAATTACTTGGGAAATGGAGCTCTACAGTGTTTTCTACATCTGGTAATAAAATTTAAACAAGCTTTGCTTCATCTCTGAATATGTACCGGAGTGCAAAGATTTTCATGCAATGCCTTGTTCTCGTCCAACTGCCCAGTGGTTTTTAAAGTGAAGGATAGGGATCATTAACATGGTGGATCCAGCCAGCTAAATAATTTTCCAATTTGTTGACTAGACCAATGAAATCAGAAACATGTGCTATCCCTTTTCTGTTTTTCACCCAGATATATAATACATTTTTACCAACATGCACTGGGGTGGCAAAAGGATATTTTATATGTTAGGTCTCTTGGCCAGTATCACTCAAGAGTGTTAAGATAGACTGGAAGGCTGGGTCTGACTGCCCCAGGTGCTAATATATGCACCAGTGCTGGATCCATTTCAGCACCTGTTTTGTTTGAGTGGGAGTGGGGTGGAATAGAGAACTGGGGCTTTTCTACAAAAGAAGGAACAGGCTAGGCCAGTTTTCTTTGGCAGCCTGGGATTAGTCTCTAAGCTGATCTGTTAGCTCAGTTCAAAGCAATTCTCTGGCAGCAGAGCTGCTCTGATGCTCCACACTGCCTGGAATCAAGAGGGGTTTCTGTGTTGGCAGCAGGAGCCAGATGCTGGTAAGCAATGAGAACTGGGCTGGGTGAGCTTTTGGAGCTGGGCTTGCTAAAAGTCATGTTTTAAAAAGT